CTCTCTCTCTCTCTCTCTCTCTCTCTCTCTCTCTCTCTCTCTCTCTCTCTCTCTCTCTCTCTCTCTCTCTCTCTCCTGGTTGGTATAGTGTATTACCTCCCATATGTTTTACTTTGTGGTTAAAGGTATTTTAATCTTTTAACCATATTTTCCTTAATATGTAACCTGTTTGGCTTGTTGAATGGATAGCAGAGTAAACTCGTTAGTACTGACAGAATGTTATGGATGTTTAGGTTGTCTCCATAATCTATATATTTTGGACTGAACACGAATTGAATGCAACTATGGAAGTATATTCTGTTCCAGATCTTACGGGAAGACTAGTTAGACTTCCTTAATTAAAAAATGGTATCTCAAGAATTCAAAACGTTAAAAGAGAAGTCCGACCTAATTGCTCTATCTTTTAGTACTCATGCAAGCATGCAAAAAAAGGGACTCAACTAGAGTCATGGAAACGAATCAGTAAAGGAGAAGTTAATCACGGAAAATACTAGATGGTGGACAAGCATCCGATATTATTCAAGTTTAAAGGGAAATTGGGTTGTATAGCTACAAAATAAGGCATAATTAAATATCTAAAAAAAAAAAAGTTTCTCCATTATTTCTGTAATATATACAATATTACCTCTTGTATCCGGTTAATCAAATATCAAAATACCTTCTTCTTCTTCTTCTTTCATCAACTACCACCACTCTACTTTGATCTCAATTACCTTGTCCTCCGTCACCGTTACAATACAATCATCACCAATTCCACTTGTGTTTATCGTATCTCCTCAGGTACATTCTCTTTTTTCTATAATAAATATGTTTTTATAATCATTATCATTTCATTCATACTCACCTTCATCAATGATTCATCATCACCATAGCTACCACAACCACATCTAAATCTCTAATCCTTTTTTCTAAAATCTACGGATCATGACAGCGTTACGGTTGAGGCATCCTTGTAAATTCTCGGTTGTATACTATTCTATTTGAATAATATTACTATGTTATTTTGTTTGTTACCATTTTATTTTAATAATGCTTCATATTATGTATTATATACATATTTTGATATTCGGATTAGGATTTATATTTCTTTTTAGGATTTGATGATCAGTGTTTTATGTTTAAAGATTGGGGTGGAAGTTGGGGTATGCATCAATTTCTTTCCTGTTAACCGGGGCTTCTAGCTCAAGTAGTAAAGGGCTTACAGCTGTGAGTACCGCCACCTGGGTTCGAATCCCGCCACTGAGAAATTAACATTTCGGCATCGCCAGGGACAGAGGACCGACACGTGGCAACACGTGACTAGTCTGGATCACTTCTGTGAGGCCAGGAAACCTCTGTATAATTCAAAAAAAAAATTATTTCCTGTTATCATAGACATTTCCAAATTTAAATAATATATACTATACTATTTTGTTTGTTACTATTCTATTTTGATAATGCTTCATAATATGTATTATATACATATTTTGATATTTGGGTTAGGGTTTATATTTTTTTCATAGTTTAATCTAGTGATTAGTATTTTGGATTTGGTTTATGAAAGGTTTGGATTGACGATAGAGGTAAGCCATGTAATTATAGACTAATTGCTAATATGAACTATACCATTTAATATTTTATATTCTATTTATATAATATTACTATATTACTATCGTGGATGCTGTAAACACCACACTCTAACAACAATTTTTATTTTCCATTTTTTTAAATGATAGATGTTTTTACTGTCAACGAGCTTAGAAAAGGAGAAAACCGGAAGAAAAAGAAAAAGAAAAAGAAAATACCAAGAGATCTAATAATGTCAACATCAATATCATATTCTTAATTTTATTCTCAAAATTGACTATTACACAAATTAACTCAAGTTTAAAAGTATTTTTTTGTAAAAACATAAAATATCCTTCTAGACCGACCATATAAATGTGATCAAATAGCTTTTTCAAGGACATGTTTCGATTATTCTTTTAAGAAACTAAAATAACAAAAATGCTACGTGAAAAATAAAAATCAAAATGTTTGTTTCATATAATACACTTATACACATGTATATGGGGATAGTAAAGAGTGTTTTGAGAGCGTTCTAAGTTGTAGAAAATATTGTCTCTACTCTCTATAGCCAAAGTAAGAAGAAAAAATAATAAATGTCAGTTTAAAAAGAAAAACAAAGTTTGATTGGTTAAATTTGTGGGGGTTGGTGGAAAATTTTAGCTTGTCGAGCTTCATGGTGTTGGACCACTCATTTTGGTTATGCCGCAGATCGTTGTAGTTATTAGCAATTGCTTATAATAAAATACTACTAGAATTGATTACATACATCAAGGTAAAAACTTATAAGTACAATTGATCTGCTTTCTTATTTTCCATGCCTCGAATTTTGGGTGAATTTGGTACAATATAGTACAATATGCTTTTAGTTTTTAAGAACATATATAACTTAAATCATGTTGCTGAACATATATAACTTTATGCCTATCAAACTCTACAGCTGATCCACACTGTTTGATCCAAATTTGATATCTTCTATCCATTAGAACCCATCATGTAAATCACTTAAACCGAAATTCAAATTTAAACTAGACAAATATTGATAATTTAATTTTTAATAGAATTAAATCTAGAACTGTAGTAGATATACACTAATCTCTAATAAATTATCATTAGGTTATTACCACTTTGTTAAGTTCTCAGTTTTACATGAAGTAAGTCAAATCCGACACCTAAATGATTTCTTTGCTAATCACCTAAATGGATTTGTATAACCGAAATTCTATAAAAAAAAATTGGTTCATCCATATGTTTCTTAAATATTTTACGGAACTACCTAAAACTCAAAAAAGAAAAGGCTGAACTAAACACTGAATAGAAGAAAAATAACTTTCATCTTTGTAT